TAATACCACTCAAGTTTCCCCCAGAAGTGCTTAGAAGCGTTATCTCACTTGCACTGTATTGTCCAGCCACCATATTAACTGGGTTATATATGTTAATCAAACCTGAAATCCCCTGGTAAGTTGTATTGTCCTTTCGAATAGTTGAAACTCCTGCTGTCTGTACACCCATGATTTTACATTAATCTTAGGAAAGAAAAACAAAAATTTCAATACAATAAATTAACTTACTGCGAAACCATAATGATTTCTGGATGGTTGAAAGAAATGGGTAAAACTAGATTTGGCTGCCAACAGTTCTTCTTTTGTTGTTCTTCGAATTGGTACTGTCCCTGATGGGCACTTCTCCTCCAATCCCATTTTGGTAAAGCCTCTTTCAATTTCATCAGATTCCACCGTTGGTGGTTTTGCCAACGTGGGTCTCATCTGTTTTTATCATATACACATTTATAATCAGTCCAAACATATATATGTATATATACGTAATACTAAATTCAGCATGAAAATAGATAATGGATATAGTTTTCCACTTTAATAAAGATGTCTTCCCAAAAAAAAAAAAAAAAAAAAAAAAAAAAAAGAGTAAGAAAAGCATGTAGGAAAAAGAAAAGTTGAAAAGCCAAAACCATAACAACTGCTTTACAATAGGCTTACTTCCATTTCTTTTTCAAGTTAAAAGCAATAAATTATATGATGAGAAATATTAGACATACCCCTTTATGTGTATATGTATGTGTGCGTGTGTGTGTAAATACATAATCATGTAAAATACCTGTATTTTGTGATTTTTGAGCAAAGGATGATCTAGAGCAGGCTGATCATATATATCCACGCAATCATATACATCTCCATGCTTAGTCTGTAATTAATGAAATAATTAAATATGATCAATAACATTAAAAACAAAAACAAAATTAAATTGAAGAAATAAAAAATAAAAAATAAAAGAACCTTGATTGTTTTTTGAGCATGCTTGTTCAATAAGGCAATTTCCTTCTCCAACTCCAAATTTTCTTCAATAGACAACCCACTAACCACTCCTGCTGTAAAAATAGTAAAAGTTGCTAGGTGAAAAAGTAAAAATCTAAATGCTTTGTGACCCTCCATAGTAAATCTGTAATACTTCCAGGCTTTTTAACTCCCTTCCTCCTCCATGTGTGTGTATATATAGTGCTCCAAGTATTTAGATACATTGTAATGTCTCTCCTTTATGGTAGCTCATTATTTTCTTTTTCTATACAAGGAAAGATATCTTCTTATAATTCTCTATAAGAAGAACATCTTTTTCAAGATATGAAATAAATAGTTTCAAAATTTTCCCTATAAAAGGAAAGAAAAATCAATATCTCACTTGCCCTATAAAAGGAAAAAAAGAGAGAAGCATTTATAACATTAACTTTTAAGGATTAGGCCAGAAAAAATTAAAATTATTTATTTAAAACGCTTATAAATGTGTATACTTCAATAAAATCAAAATAACCAAAATGTTAAATTCTTCTAGTTATGATAATCATAAAATGCTAATATTTAATTTAGTCTTTTATATTTAAAAATAATAATTTTTATTTATTATTATTAATTAGTTATTAAATATATTATTTTGTAAGGGATTAATCTTAAATAGTTAAAATTTTTATAATTTTTTATATCTTAAATTTTAATAATATTTTATGACAATTAAATTATTTTAATTATAATAATCATAACATATTAATACTTGATTTATTCTTTTATATTCAAAAATAACAATAATTTTTTTAATTTTTATTATTGTATTATTTGGTGGTACATATTTATCTATTCTTTTTCAGCTTAATAATACCTTTTAATAACAAATTAATGTCTCACTGTAAAAAAGAAAATAAACAAACTTTTTTTGTAATTTAATTTTTTATTATAACATCATTAATGTAATACAAAAGAATTAATTTGTTGAAGCCTCCACAGACCTCCTCTAAACATAACTCACCTTAACTCGGTCTCACGACACTCACCATTTTCTATTCTTAACACACGACAAATCCAACCCATCACTTCCACACATCTCATTACTATATCTGTACGTGTATATATATGTATAGATAAGACATTAAAATTCACAGAACAAGCTGACACTTACATGACTCACCAAAAAAAAAACAAAACAAAACAAAATTAAGCAAGAGGAGATCAGTGAATCGTAACTCAGAGCCCACTCGACCCAATCAACTTCGTCAACCCAAAGGTTATAGCCATGGCCAGCCACCCTCCCAACAAAACCCTCACCGATGACCTCACTACCGGCGTCTTCCCCAGCACCGCCCCTAGCCATCCGAATACTATCAAAGCCAACGTCACCGCCGCAACCAAAACTCCAACCCTCACCTTATACTCTCTGATAAACGAAGCAGCCAACAATGGCACGATTGCACCCGCTGAAAACGCCAGCGCCGACGCCGCCGCAGCCTGTAATGGATTCGGCAAGTTCTCCGACTCTTTCTCTCCTTCTTCAGATTCCGATGAAGGACTAGTAGTTATTCCTCTTTGTTGTTGCTGCTGTTTGTCTCTTTTCATCTGAGCCAGCTCGATGTCCAGCTGGGAGTAAACAGAGACGAACTCCCCGATGGCCATGCTGCAAGCTCCGGCGACTAGACCGGCGAACCCAGTTAAGATCATAGCTTTGATGTCTGTTTTTACGGCGCCGACACCCATCATCAAGGATGCGGTGGAGACTAATCCGTCGTTTGCTCCAAGAACGGCAGCTCGAAGCCATTGTGATCTTTTGGAGTAGTCGGTCATGTCCTTTTTGGGTTCGAGCTCGAGGGTGGTGGTTTGTTGCTCAACGTCGTCGTTTAATGGGATGGTGAACTTGTGGTTGTTGGCTTCCATGGCGGAGAGAAATGGAAAGGAGAAAGAGCAAGGGATCGTTTAGAGTAGAAGAAGGAGTGTGGAAGACACACGCCCTGAAGAAGGGTATTTATGGAGAGATTGCTTGGGCGTGGTGGGGTCCACAGCTACCACTGCAAAATATGGAATGTTTAATATAAAAGAAATTTATTATACAATTAAAATTATATATTTGGTTAATATTGGAAAAAAAAAAGACGGAGGAGGAAGTCTAATCAACAATGTATTGTGAAGCGGTTACGTTCATGACTAAAGCGTGACTGTTGAGGCACATGACAAAACTAAAGATGGGAGATTGCCACACATAATTTACACTTTTCTCTATCTGTCTCCCTCTATATATATATACATGCATATATATATATATATATTTATATTCGGTTTCTTATGTTGTAATAATATTTTTTTTAATGAAATTGAAATTAAATTTTGAGTTTTATTCTAAATAATAAATTGGAACGTTAAAATTATTTTTTTAAAAAAAAATAATTGGAAAATCAAAAGAGTCAAAATACTACTCGGGTTTAAATTCTACTTAAACATTTAGATATTCATATTAGCTATACATACATATAAGATCTATACGTATACATGTGCATAATCTTGGTGGATAGAAATTCTAATTTGAACCCATTAATTTAATTAAAGAGGCCTAAAACACAGCATTAATGGAATCTGAATGAGAAAGCACTTAGTGATGGTGAGAGATGAATAAACTACACAATAAATTATAAATTTAATTGCAAAGAGGAGTGTGCTTTCCACACGAATGCCACCATCTTCCATATTTATATTTATATATATATATATATACATATATAAAAAAAGAAAAACCAACATTCCACTTTCCACTCCAGACCCACTAAATATATATATATATATTTATTAATTATTATTTTTAAATTTATTTATATAGTAAAATCTTAATTGTAACATGTAGATGTTGAAAAATCTTAATTGTAATTATTTTTACTGCTAAAATAATAATTTTTTGCTGTAGAGTATATAAAGAAGAGAAGGAGGTCCATTACATGTGAAAATATAATGAAGTGGAATAAATAATTATTTTTAAATCAAAAACAATTTTATTCATCATTATGCGATTCCTTTCCGTCTTGAATCTTCTTTCATCTATCACCCATACAAGAAAACGAGAAGAATTTGGCTTTTCATTATGTCTGTATACGTGTGTATATATGTATACATATGTATATGTAACTGCTAAAGGCAAAAGCTATAAATACAAAATTGAAGTGTACGTGCCTGCCTCTTTGGAAATTCTCCATCTTTCAGAGAACTCATGCTTCAACATATTAATATAATTCACTATTATTAAATGATTATGGATCTTTATAATAATGTGATGGGAGAATTTTCTTTATAATAATGTTTATATAATTTTATTAGTTTAAAAAAAATGTCTATCGCACTTGTTATTGCATGAGTGATAGGTCATGATCCAATATGTTTGTTGCAAAGAAAATAGATGCGCTGATTGGTTGGTAAATGTCAGGTTCTCTTTACCGATGGACCTCTATTCTCATATTCAGGTGACAAATGATCTTCAACAGCTCTTCAGTGACGATATCATGAATGTCTCTTATTCCCGAATGTACATGACGATTTCTTAATTTTCTTTTAGCTTTTAGTTCTCCTTGTACTAAAAACAAAAGAAAATGTCTAGTTTTTTCATTTAACTAACTAAATTCATTTTTGTATTTAATTCAAAAAATTACAAGGAAAAAAATTGAGCTAATGATATTTAAACCCTAGTAGTATTCTTTTTTTTCTTCTTAATATTCATTAAAAAAAAGAGATTATCAAATTAAATTATAAGTGGTCTTGGATGATGTAACACCCAAGTCTGAAAATTAGCCATAGATAATTTTTACGGATTATGAATATAAATGTATAATAATTTAAAAAAATTTTACGGTGTATGTCGCGTGGCCAGGCGCGCTGACGTTGGCGTAACCCCGGAGGCCACACTAGCGATCCGAATGCCCTGCGAACGAACGGTCCAGGATCAATCCCTCGCGCATGGACGGTGCATATCTGCTTCTCCCTTAGGCGTGATCAAACAATCGATATCAAACGCGATGAATGGTTCAGATTTGATTCCTTTTTAGGCACGATCGGACAGACGAGATCGATCGCGATGGACGGTCTAGATTAATGTGAGATGGGTATAAATATTTCGCATCACATAGAATATAAACCCTAGTAGCCAACCCCCTCCCTCGCCCTCCCGCCAGAGAAAAAGGACCAGTTATCAGAGAAGGAAGCCGATTGTCGACCGTCGACGCACCGGAGCAACCTCCGACCTCCAAAAGAAGTAAAAAATTCTCCTACTCACTCAGAATTCAATTCTGAGCACCCTTGTGGCCATATCAAAGCAAAACGAATGGCAGGTGAGCCGAAAACCATGGACAAAGCCCGACGGGGCCGTCGTGGCCCAATACTTACAACTTCTTCCAATGAGCCCTTACCCAATTCTCGTTTCGTGTAATTTTTCTACCGTTGTGTTCACCATACTATTTTCTACAGGTTAACCAAAGAAGGAATCACAGCCATGAAGCAGAGCCGGCAGAGCCACCGGATCGGGAAACTCCCCACCGATAGGGTTTGGTTCTCTAATTTTCTCGGCCAACCGAGGTTCGTTAACGTATTTTTTTGCAGGGATATATGTAACACCCCACATTATTATTATTTTTATTTTTATTAATATTATTTTATTGTATTTTAATTTTTTTTTTGTAATTTTTAGATGAATATAATAATTTATTATGTAATATATATGTTTTTATTTAGTTTATTTATTAAATAGAAATAATAATAATAATAATAATAAGGGATGAAATTATTTTTGGGATTTAACTGAAAATAATTTTGGAAAAAAATGGTAAAAATTTGGGTTCTGGGGGTGTTTTTGAAAAGAAAATCAAAAATCGGAGGTCAAAATAAAATTTAAAAAAATTGCGCACGTCAGCAGCCCCGGCCAACCAGGACACGCCGCGTGGTAGAGACGTTGACGCGGGAGGCCACGCGAAAGGGAGCCACGTGGGTGATCCGCGTGCGCGCGATCGAATGGCTGAGATTCGTTCCCGCACGCACGGACGGCCCAGATCAAAAGCACGTACGAACGGCCCAGATTGCACGCGTACAGATGGCTCAGATTGAATCGCACATGGACGGCCCAGATTGCATCGCGATGAACGGTCCAGATTTATTTTCTATTTAATCGCGATCAGACGACCCATATTAAATCGCGATGAACGGCTCAGATTAAAAGTGGAAGGTTATAAATAATCTTATCCACACACAAACCCTAACCCTAGCCACCAGAGCCCTCGCCGGAGAAGACAGCCCAGCCACCGGAGAACTGACCACCGCCATCCGCCACCGCACCGGAGCACTTTTCGACCGCCAAACAAGGTAAAAAATTCTCCCCTTGGCTCGGATTTCAATTCTAAACCCACCTGTGGCCAAATCGGAACTAAAACACTGGCCAATTGGCCGAAAAACACCGCCGAACCCCAGCGGTGCCACCGCGGGTTCTCTCGATTTTTGCCTCCGATAAGGCCCTTCCCGATTCCCGTTCGATGTAATCTTTACACCATTGTAACCACCGTTCCTTCCTCTATAGGTTGACTTGAATAAAATACCAAATCGCGACTCGAGCCAGAGGAGCTGCCGCACCGGAGAGCCCCACCGCCGGAAAGTTTTAGTTTTTGGTATTTTTTTGGCCTACCGAGGGCCCTAGGTGTGTTTATCATAGGAACCAATGCAATTTTAGCCGAATTTGGCCGAAAACGGCCGGAAACGGCCAACCCAAGGCGAATCGTCGCCGCTCGTCGGAGCACGGCGGTCGAAATTCTGAAATTGGCCGAGTAGGCCCTGGGTCTGATTTTGAGTTATTTGGGGACATGTGCAGGTACCGTAAGTGTGTTTCAGTTCCTAAGAAAAAAAATTTAGGGAATCTAGGGACTACCCGTAGGCGCAGTGAAAAACTGGTTTTAGACTTCGAATCAAGTAAGGATTCCCTCACCCTATTTCCTATCGCGGAATTAAAGTTCAATTGAATGGAAATATCATATTTTTGTAATTAATAGATATGTATAATTAATTAAGGTTACTGATGGAGCCCGAATCTAATATATTTTTTGGTCAGTTCCTGTTTTATTTATTTTACAGTTTTAAATACGTTACGGTATGTGGCTTATTTATTCTATGGTTTCGGACGCACGAATCACTGTTTACTTCACTGCTGCTTGGTTTCGTGGATTTAATGTATGTTTACCTCGTTGAATGCACGTTACTTATTTAAGTGTTCACATTTATGTTAGAAATAGAAAACTAAGAAAAGAATAAAAAAATAGTATGTGAATTGATAAATGGATAAGTTGATAGCTTCACTAGATACCCTGAGAGATGGTGGACGGACCAGGTCCATAGAGAACCCTACCAGGAACGTTGTCTCATACCGGACGGGGTATGGAGACTTTAAATATTTTGGCGCCCATACAGGACGGGGTATGAGGACGGCTCTGGAATTAAGTTGTTAAAGTTAATAGTTCACGTGTAGCGGGGACCCCTATGGATCCCCATGGATACTGGTAGGCTGATAAAAGAGGGAAATTGTTGTTTGATGATTGAAAAATAAAAGTATGACATGTGCTATATTACAGAATATGTATGAATTCATGATATTTTTGATGTTATTATTTCTATGGGTCGTTTTCATAAATCTCACTGAGGTAAGTGGACAGTAAAATGGTTTTATTATTGATTAATGAATTTGTTAAAAATTGTGCTCCATTGGTCCTTTTTGTTTTTCTACCAACCTTTACTTCTGTGACAGTAATATAGTGTGACGTCTTTACTGGACTAATGTAGCTCATTCCTTATTTAACTATTTCAGATCAGGAAGACTTAGTTCCCGAGCCCATTCTGCAGGAAGATGGCGAGTATATGCCTAAATATTTTATAGTTTTTCTTATAGCATTTCATTTCTAGTATTTCCTTTAGTTAACTTAT